CTCAAGCCCTCCGCTACACAAGTAAGGAGAACTCAGCCTAGAAATTTCTGAGGTGAGGGCCCTATACAACATAGCTGACTTTACTTTCTTTACTGTCGGCTAAACTTTGCTGTTCGTGTGTTACTCTTTATTTGTAGTGGGATGTGACCCTAGAAGGAAGTAGGAAGGACCCTCGTGTTGCAGCAAATCATTTAAACGTCACTCTAACAGGGGTGCTTAAAATTAAAAATGGGAGCTTCAAGTTGCCTTTTAATTGAGTCAACCTGGATTCAGTTGAAAGTAATTTGTGGCGCGAAGAACTTCTATCAGTTATTCAGTTATCAGTTGCATTTTAGGGGGCACAACGGGTGGAGGAATGTGAGTGCGCAGTAAGTAAACTGGGAGGATGACCCCCACCAAAAATGTTTATATCATCCATTTACAGCTGTGATGGTGTGGAGAGCTTCACAAGGCCACATCTAAATGCCTGATGAGTGTGAATGCTTTCATCTTACTCCTCTGTACAGAAGAGACCGCTTTAAGCCTTCACAAATCTCATCAGCTTCCGTATGGCGGTCGTTCATTCAGTGTATAATCACCTGAATATTAAGAATTCGTTGTGTTTTTCGTTACCTTAGAATGAGCTGTTTTCATCTACAGAAGTCAGCTTTTAGGAATGAGTTAGCTTTTAGGGTTTGGTCTTGTATTGCAGTTGTAATGTTTTACATCGTACCAATATATGAATAATTGTTTCCTCAATTATTGATATATTGGTGAAATGTCTTGTGAGGATCTACAGCATCATAGCTACAGGCTTTAAATGTATCTAATCATGCACCATATATACTTACTAAACTGGTTCATGTGTGGTTATTCTTAGAGGACAGCTTCATTATTCATCACTTCATGCTAAATTCTGATAAACATTGTTCTTATGACTAGTTCACGGTTAAACCAAAGAGTATATATAGTAGTATTGCAAGATGCAATATTAAGACTGTTTTGCCTCTTCAAATACAAAGATGACATGCCTTTTATCTAAAAAAAATGAACATTGGAACTAAAAAGTTTTCTTTCAACTTGTCTGAACCAATGATGGTTCCTGAAAGAATAACTTCTGACCAAACATCACTCAGTAACCTAACAGATTGTCTCTTCCTGTCTTGAGCCCCCATCCCTCAACTCCACAAAAATAGCTCACCTGTGACTTTGCTCTCATAAGATAATAGTACGAGTAGCCTGTTATAAGGTGGAGAAAGGAACAAAATCATTTCATGAAAGGCTTTATAAAAAGTTGTGTGGGAGGATGCAGAGACTGAAATTATTAAACGCATGGTTTGCAAAACATATATAGCACACTTTTGAATTCTACTGGGAACTCTTAGCTGTCTTATGGATTGATGAAAAGCCCCCCTCTTGCACGGGGCAAGCGTCTCTGAGTGCTATTCCTGTATTCCCAGCAGATATCTTGGTGTTAAGTTGACGTAGACGATGTTTGACTGGCACACAGTAACCACGTCTATCTAGTATGAGACTGTGCACTCTCCGAGCTGAAGATGACACGACAGTCTCATCCTCCCACTGGGCCTCATTTACTCACTGGTGCTGAGAACAAACCTCTTTCTGTCTCTTGTGGTCTACATATCTGACAACAAACAACACCACCCTTTAGGGTGCCAAAACACACATCAGAGAAAAGAGGATCTACATGTATTTTCAACATTTTGTTATTAACATTTTGAAATCCTCCATGGGATGGTCTTTAAAAGCTTTTGGTTATCAGATATGGGTGCTGGTAATGTAGTTTCCATATGATGGAATATTACACTCAAACTCTTCAGACAGTCTGCGCCGAAGGTTCATTTTCAATAGAGCTGGAACATAATTCAATATTATTACTAATGACTTTCAGTGGAATCGTCGATATGAACATATTGTGTTAGCATTTGGCAAAAAAGAAACTATAATCATAAATGGAGCACAACATTAGTTCCGGCAGCGCACTGGAGTCCCGTTTGCATTAGTTGATTGGCATCAGCTGTTTCATTCATGCTTTACAATCACTGGCTCATTCAGTAGCTCTGTGGCTATCAGCTGACTGAATGTCCGATCATATTCATGCACATAACCTGACACCTGACTCACTATGTCTCTGCTGACATGCTCAGGCCAACACTGTTTGTTACCACAGCTCCCTCCACCCTTTAAAACTCTTATGTTATCGTCTTCAGTTTAGTTGCTAAAATTGAGTGAATGTGGGAGGATTAGTTCTCCCAGCAGAATCTCTGTTGCTCAGATTGACTTCTTTTTCCCTCATAAGGTTTTTTGTATCATAGTAAGACATGCACAAAACCAAGGCCCTGAAACTGAAGCAGCTAAATGGAATTTACTCATCATTCATTTTTATTATTTAATCATTATTTTACATAAACACATCTCATTAACAATTAAAGGATTCTGACCATCATTTATGCTACAATGACAGTTGAGCAAGCCTTGGTCAGAACCTCGTTCAACTTTCTCCTTTGCTGTGATTGGATATATGTGCTAAGCTCGTCTATGTTAACAAAGATAAAAGTGACATTTATGTAGTCACATCTTAAGTTAATTAATCTTTCACCTACAGCAATCACTGGCCAGCTAGTCAACTGGCTAGTTAGCTAATTGCTAGCATATTGGTCAATTATTATTGCGCAAACTGCAATGTAGAACTTAAAAATAAAAAAAGATATGCCAACAACTTTGGCATTGCTTCTTTTTACAAACAGAATATTTCGATATAAAAAGTTGTATAAACACTATAAACTGACGTAAAATAGTATTTAAAGAATTCAAGTATTCAAAGATGGATTTCTCAGATGTTCAACAAATTGTTGTGTGCCATGGTGATTTGCCTTGTTAAAAAGAGTTAGTTGTGGGTTATTAATTGGTGTGTTATGAAGTTGAAGGTATGCAGTTAATAGGGCTCCCCTCTCAATACACACTACACAGCTTGTCTTAGCGCTATTCACGGCAAAAACAATATTGCTGCCTATAGAAGAGTTACAGCAGTTGTTTTAGCTATGGCGGCATATGGAAAATGCATATACCTTTTGTAGCAGCCAGTACCTTTCATTGGTTAAGAGCTGGCAACACTGACCTCCAGCGTGGCTGCTAGAGGGTGTCTCCTTGTACACAAACTGTAAACCCCCTGTGGGGAATACTCTGAGGCCTGGAATAGAGCCCTGTGGGACCTTGCAGGTTACTCAAGGTACTGGAAGCAGGAGGGTGTACTGTACAGTGTGTACAGTGAGTGATGTGGTGTAACTTTGTATCTGAGACGTTAAAGGAATCTTTAAGGCAGCCAAGGACACATGCTGAAGTGGGATCTGAAGATCTAAAACAGACTAAAATAGTTGTGGTCCAGACTTTGAGTGAGAGGGTTGGTTGATGTAATGCTCTATCTCTGTATTCTAAGAGCTGTTGTGTAAAGCTGATTCACCCAGCCCACACCTCTGCTGTGTGTGGGAGAGAGCGTAATGAGGGCATCTTCTGTTCACAGGGGGTGAAAGAGAACTGGGAGGGCGAAGGCATCTCTAAACAGACTCAAAAAATAAAACAGCCTAGTCTCAAAGCCAGGAATTTTCTGGAAAACATACTGTATCACATTGATTACTACAGAACCTACACCTATTGAAAAATGTATCTGGTCTTCTTTTTAGGTGCAAATATAGGAGGAATCTGGTCAGGGGTATTGTTGATTTTCTTTTTTTTTTTATCTGGCTTTACTAAAAGTGCATTAAATGGATGGAACTAGTAACTAGAGGCAACTTTTTAACATAGGGTAGGAGAAAAATACGTCTTCTGATTGTACACACACACACACACAATGCATTATTCATGGAAATCAATATTATATTATTCTGTCGGTCAAATAACGCAGTGCCGTTCATTCCAAACACAAAACAAGCCTACACTCTGCCAGCTATGTATGATGCAGCTGCCCATTTGCACAGTGTGCGTTGTGTCAAAAATAATGCAATTTTTTACTTTGTCAAAATGAGGTCAGCACTTTACAAGCACCGCTTACCACACAGTCGTAATAATTAGTTCAGTGTTAAAAAAATAAATACTAGTATTGATTTTTATATCCAAAGGAAATCTGTGCATTTCTGGACACTTTATTACAAATATGTTATTGCACCAGAGGTTTGAAATGTAAGCATTTTCAGCACGGGCCAAGTTTTTGTTTATTTCCTGAGACCTGCTTATTTATTTAAGAGAACATTAGTCAGCAGAACAAAGCCAAGTGAGCTAGTAAAGAGCTCCATTAAAGGCTTGGAAAAGCTTTTGTGTTCTGATGGATCCACTTGTGGAGCTAGCTGCAAATGAACAGCCAATAAATTATTGAAATAGCCTCATGTCATTGCATGTATGGCTGGTAATATGTAATGAAATCTATCTATCTATCTATCCTTGAGATATGCAGTGTAGGTTTGGCATGCTGGTAAAAGTGGTCAGTCACTTAGCTGAAACCTAGCGTTGATGCTGTGCCTGCAGTAATGGAAATCTATAGTCTGAGGGCTAGTGCCAGTCTTGTGCACAGAACAGCTGAGAGAGGTTTCTTGTTGAGACAGGTCTTGAAATATGGTCACCCAGGGCAGACTGATGAGAATCACAGTTGTTTGACAATTCTATAAATATCACCTCTGTTACGAAAAAAAATCCATCCCGAGCTCTGGGCTACAGACCTTCAGTGCTGAATTTGATAACCTTGTAAGAAAGTCAGTTCTTACTTCAGTTTGGACAATTTTGGCATTATTGGCCTGAAGAAATTGCAAACGTCTGAAACGTCTGCTTTATTTATACTGCCTCTGCTATAAAGTATTATTGCATTTCTCATATTTATTGTTGAATATACTACATTATGCTGTTTTGCCTCCCACAGGACTACACGTTGACTATGTACTTCCAACAGTATTGGAGAGATAAGAGACTGGCCTATGCGGGGATCCCTCTCAACCTGACACTGGACAACAGAGTAGCAGACCAGCTCTGGGTCCCAGACACCTACTTCCTCAATGACAAGAAGTCTTTTGTTCACGGTGTCACAGTTAAGAACCGTATGATCCGACTACACCCAGACGGCACTGTTCTCTACGGCCTCAGGTGAGCACTGTTGTTAACATTAATTCTCAAACAGTGGACCTTCTCAGTGCATTAACTGTTCCCCAGTTAAAGTGTTGAGTTGTGTTGACGGCAGAAGAAAGAAGAAACAACTGGAATTAATTTGAGTATGATAGTAGTATATAACATGTTGTTGTTGGAATTAATACTAAATGTATTATTGAGCCATTGTTGTCTGCATGTAATTTCATCGCCATCAGTGTGTTTTTATTTTGAGTGACTGGCATTTATTTGTTCGTGTTAGCTACAGCCCCAGTTATTACTTAAATATTGGCTATTATATGAGAATTTACTGTATGTGTCTGATATAATCACCATTAATTTCAGTTCCACTTGGGCATTACGTAAGAAAATATGGATGAACTACTCAAAGAGCATTGATCGCAACCAAAGGCCTATTAAACTTTATCATTAACGTTTCTCCTATCCTGATCAAATCCAGATATGATACACTTTTCTTCACACTTATACATGCTTGGTTCTCTTCTGCCTTCACACTCCAGTCTGATTCAATTGGGAGCAGTAAAGATTTCATACTGTGTACATCCTGGGTAAACTGATGTGTTTACACATTTTCAACATGTCACACCACCTCCCGTGGTCAGCAATCCCTTGCTAATGCTTAGTATTGGTTGCATTTCCACTTGGCTTTCACACTGTCCCATAGCTATCTAATCTGTCCAAGACGCGCTGAAGTGACTGCCTTATTGATTTTGTCGAAGCCATTTTAAGCTGCAATTCTCACAACTTGCTAATTCAGCGGGTCTCACATCAGCTCATATCACATAACTGGTCTCATATGTTTATTTGCACTGCGGCTGAGGATTGAATTCTCAATATCACTTCAGTAGTAAAAAGTAATTGGAAGTGTTATTAGCAGTAATTGACATAGAGTCTGACATTAAACAAATAATAATGAATGTCACTGCATTGCTAAGATGTTGTGTTTTGGTGTAATAATTTGTTCTATTTGAAATTAGCTTTATCTTCTCACTACACAGACTGTAAAAGAGCACATCTCTCTTAATTTGCAATTGTAACTTCCTGTATTCGACATCATACTTTACACCATATAAAACAAGGTCACCCAAGCAATGTATACCTGTCTTTTGGTTTGGTTTTCATCCAGAATCACGACGACAGCAGCCTGCATGATGGATCTGAGGAGATACCCGCTGGACGAACAGAACTGCACTCTGGAAATTGAGAGTTGTAAGTTTAAGCCCCATATCTTGTGCTTCGGAAAGAAATACAGCAGACAGCTGTACTTTTTCATCCCTTAAAAATATGAACAGCGCTGTGATTCTCGTAAAAAAAGTTCCCACACTTTTCATCTAGTGGACACAGAAACTGCAAAGACTGCTGAATCGCTTTCAATTTATTAAGCTGTCGTATCTCATTGAGATTGCTTGCTTCACCCTCTCCAGTTACAGCTACTGTGTCAGTCCAGAAGGTTTTAAGCAGACAGTGATTTCCATAGTAGAGCACATTAATGATTAGTCCAACTTCATCAGTCTTAATGACATGTTTGGCTGTCTGTGCTAAAACTGTTGACAGTTATGGATCCTGTGCATGTGGTATAACTCTGTCCACTTGCAGTGACACACATCCACATAAAGATTTACATCTCATGCAATCAGCACTTACAGCAAGCTGAGTCTGTGTGATTCATAGGACTTACTGTAAATCAACTGTAGCTATTAGGCCCCCAGATTTCACTTAAGCAAATAAAAATACATTATTAATTTTAGCCCTCCGACAAGATGAGACGGCTGCACTTTTCAGTGCGTTTCCACTCCTAAGAATCACACCTTGCCTGGTTTCCTGTGTCCCTGTTCGCAGATGGTTACACAACAGATGATATAGAGTTCTATTGGAAAGGAGGAGACACTGCTGTGACGGGGGTGACACGAATTGAGCTCCCTCAGTTCTCCATAGTCGACTACAAACTGGTTTCCAGGAACGTGGTCTTTTCCACAGGTGAGTTCACAATAATGCTGCTCACATATACCATAAGAATCATTGAAATAACCAGAACTGTTCTAACTTTGGCAGA